ACAACTCAAAGGACTTTGGCCTGATGAGGCAGCTAGAACAAGCAACTCGATGAAAGAAACAAAAAATATGAAACCCCTCTTAAAAGCTTAAAATCACCTTTCACTTGACCCTTTTTCTCACCCTCTCTGCTCTGCTGTGGCATGGTCAGCGGCATGAGAGTTCTGTACAATGTAAAGTGAGACTCAGCGACAAAATCCACAAGAGAACACTGACCCATTGTTCCACTCGAGGGATTTCACCTCTCTCAGTTGTGGATACAGCCGCTATATCACGTTTCATGTTTTTTCACGGGTCTTTTATTCCTCTTATACTGCTGCGTAATTTTTTTGTGTATCGAAGAGTGGTGTTCTCCAAATAAAGAATAGATGGTGCTGCAAAGACTAATCTCTGCTTTGCAGTGGTTATAATGACTGCCTGACAGCACTTCTCTTGCATATTTAAATGGCACTGTTGTAAAGGAGGTGTTTTTAAACCCGTATAAAAACCTGAATGTCTTGGAGCTTGAGGGTGCTAGAGATCTCAAAGATCTTCCTGCCTGCAGGGATGCTCAGAGGGAACAAGACTTTGTCTCTCAGTAAGAACTCAACCTGACAGCAGTTCCCTGTGGGCTATTTTGTAACACACAGCTATTAGAGAAGGAGGTTGCTCGAAAGCAGGAATGCGAACACTTTTTGACATTTGATGGACTGAAGCATACGGAAAAATGGGCGAGTGGGCAGTCGGACTGAAGCCCTCGAATGGACTATTTATTGCATTTTAGAAATACGCATTCTAAGGCTACATAGCATTGGAATATTTCTCCATATTATTGCTTTTAAAATAAGTATGGTAATGTGGTAGTTACACAAGCATATGCATATGGCCCTGCTTCACATTCAAATAAACGTTATCTTGCTATAAATAATCTCTAATGAAATTGAAAAACATCTCAATTAATGTTTTTACAAGTGGTTTTAGTCTGCCCTTCACTCAGCATGGCACATCAAACCACTGCCATGCACACCATTTTTGATAAGACTTGGACTTAGCACCAAATCTTTAAATAAGAAAAACAACAGAGAAAATAAAGGTTTTAAATGTAATTTAGCAAGCTGAAAGGTCATCAATGATACCAGCCACTACATGTAAATTAATGTACAAGAGTCACACTTAATTCCAAAGTAGCAAAGATTTATGGATGTGTTACAGATGCATCGGCTAAACTTGCAGAGAATCTGACAGTTTTCTGCTAAAACTCTTTCTGCAACACCTCATTCCTCCACATAGTGTCACTGTGTCTGGATTGGAGTGGCGTCCAGGCAAGGATCAGTCACATTCTGTTAACCCACCTCAAAATATGAAAATGAAAGATAATTTATGCTTGATCCTTGGACACAGCACATTTGCATGGTACATATTCTAATTATACCATCAACTAATAAGTTATACATGAACAAATATTTTTCTATGAGCCAAAGACAAATACTCCAAGCTATGTAGTTGAGTCATGGCACCCGCTATACATAATATATTTTACTATGAAGCTTATAATATGTAGTTTTAGAAGTAAAATGTTCATTTGATATGATTTTATGCAATGCTTCTATAGATGTTCTTTATTTTGAGGCATCCACCAAGGGTACTCAACTTTCTGTGCACAAGATAAAAACATGCATAAAGTACAGTATTTCTAAATAATGTATTCACATATAACAAGCACAGTGCTGTGCTGTAGGTCTTTATGTTCATATCATTCATTATTTAAACATTAATAGATGTCCCTTTAAACAGTACTGCATGAATTTAACAAAAAATGGAGTACATACACTCTTGGGTTAGCATTTTGTCTATATGTTTTTAAATGATGCATTTTACCAATATGTTGACACTGATTAATCTGCTAGGCTAAAGCTGTGCCAGCTGGATCAGACAGATTGTTTAATCATTTATCCAATTTCCGTTGAACACATACCTTAGCTCATGCTTTCACCAGTTCTCCATGCTATTAAATGTTGCCCTCCATCTTTGCTCTTCGTGTAAGACCAAATGCAAAGTAGGCCCTCGGATGAACAGTTAAATATTTTAGATAATACAATACATAGTGTGCATTAAGAGCAGCTTCAACTGCAACTTCAGCAATTCTGCTGAACTGTTCACCCCTGACACGTGTGATACATTTTTTCCATTTCTTATGGAATATCTCCACGCACACTCTGACGCGCATACTCATCTAACTATCTCCATTATGCCCTTGTATATGTTTACTGTGGTTGTCCTCGGACTTCCTTCCACGCTCCTTCTTGTTTTCTGGCAGCTAGTAAGAATGCAGTTCATCGCGGTGCCATAAGCCCTGACAAGAGGATCAATCAGAGCTAATGACGCCTGGGAGGAGGTGAGAAACCGCGAAGAGGGATGGAGCTAAAGGAGGAGAGAATGGCAGAGTAAGGATGGGGCTTCGGA